ACCCGTTGATGCTCAAGTGCTGCGATCGTCTATTCATGCCGAACCACTGCAGTATTATGGCATCATTCTTTGATACGGTTCACAAATCGTATTCACTAAGAATAAAGGTAAAAAAATCAGCTTTGTAAAACATCGCCAGAGATTCTATACCGATAGTCCGTCACAGGTATATTTTAAGCAACGGAAAGAAACTATACGCATCATCGCCAGTGACAAAGTTTAAGGCAGGGGCATGGGTGGGGGGAAGGCGAGAGAGCCTACGACATAAACCATTAATAGCTATGAAGAACGCATTTATAAAAGTAAGAAATCAGTAATTTTACCAAACGGGTTGCGCTTTCGTACGAGCAAGCCTGCGTGTGGCCCGGCACCTTCGTAAACCACGTCTGACAATTGCTGTTTCTCATCCACCGTTAAACGTTCGATCGCAATAACGTGGTTCTCCGGTAACTGCGAAACGGGGGTCAAGGCGATCACTTCCGCAGTCATTTTCATCTTGCGGCGAACTATACGCTCGTGTCAACAACAGGCCCCCTGAAAAAATCGACTTAATTTTCTACAACCTCTCTTGATTCGCGCACAACAGAGCAATCATATTTTTTCTTAAAATATAACACAAATAATTTCGTTTCGTAACCAAGGAAAATCACAGTAAGTCAGAAATTAACAACGATTGAATACAATTGAAGTCTGATATGAAAACAAGGCGCGCAGATGAGGAAGGAATTTAAACTAAGTGAAGATGAAAAAAAGGAAAGTTTGCAACCGTTGGAACTTCGGTCTCCCTTACTTTTATATGATGGGATCATCCCTGTCGCCATTATTTTCAGCAATTTAACAGTAGAGCTCGATCTTAATTTCTATGCCATCAGCCAGGACTGTTCCCTTTTCAAACGTAGAATCGACAGCTGCTCTGTGACAAACACAGTGTGTAGTCTCTTGTTTCCTTGCCACAAAGTGGTACTGATTTATCAGCCGGGGTCTGAACTCGCGAGGTATCGATTAAAAGTCCGGCGCTCAATCGACTGAGCAATCAGGCTAATGAAGTTAAAGCGTTTTATGACATTACGCCGTTTCTCTCAAGCAACGAGCCCATCGATCATTGCCACAGATACGACTTTCTAAGTGTGTTCGTTTTCATTCAAATCCAACCGTAATGCCAATTTTCTAAAGTAAGACTCTCAGGGTTACTTTCAGTCCAGGTATAAAAAGGTCAATGTTTCAATCCAAACGATAATGGGCGTTTACCGCCTTCATATCAATAGTTGTTTCATGAAAACCTGTCTAACCTCATTGCAGCAGTTGAGAAATTGGAGTCTCCATGGAAATGCAAGTTCCGGTTGCTTGGTTCTGTGTCTGTAATGAACCGTCTTCTTTGCTGCAGTTAATTAGGCGTTTTTTAAGTTAGTGGAATTTCGCGTCAGTATTTGAATTCACAGCATTAGTTTCTGTGATTGCTGTCATCAGCGCTTCTACCACACGCTAATAGCCGGCTCTTAAGTCCAGGTACTTAAATTTGTCAGCGTTGAGTATGACAAGCCAAACCGCTTCCTTTCTTGCATCCAGCTTAAGACGGATATCAGTGACAACCACCTTAACATAAACCTTGATTAGCATAAAAACACCTATTAATTCAAATATGCGCTTCACCTAATTCAAAAATAAATATCTTTGAATAGTAGTGAATACCTTACGAAAGTACTGAATACCTTACACCGAAAGTCACAGTAAGGTTCAACGAGCGTCGTTAACTTGCTGCCCAGTGTCGGTGGTGCAACAGTGAAACACGGCTGGGATACACTGAATTCGAAACAGCAACGTCAAACGCACAAATCCCGTAAATAAACTTTGCTGCATTCAGCTCGCCAGAGACCCCCCACTGCGACAGCGAAGAACTTAGCATGAGTGGCGCGCCGTATGACGCACCCTCTTTTGCTGTCACGTCAGTTATACATGTGTTTTTGAGTTCGATGACGTTGTCTGCAGCAACAACAACGAATTATACGGTATAACCTTAGAGAATTACCGCTTCGTTATATCGACACCGACTACTTATACAACGTAGTTTCGAAACTGCCGAACAGACTGTAAAATTTTGCCTCCATCCGTATA